CCCCAAAACCCCAAAACCCCAAAACCCCAAAACCCCAGGACTAGAGATGGGTTTTGATAAGTTAATTTAATAATTCATTGTTGCCAATTCTAAATGGCGAGGTCAAATTCTGTTCAAAATGACACTGGAGATTTCACATGCAATTTCGAAGTAGTTGAACCCCAGATTTCGATCCCTGTTGCAGTTTTTACGGTTATATCTGTGACTATTGGTTCAAGTATGGTCTCAGTACCCCAGACTGCTTATGAATCCGGAATTCCTTGGGCACTTGGTTATAATACCTTTAATTTCATTTTGAGTTTATACTCGATTCATCTCTACTTGAAAGCAGCTCAAGTGACAGGATATTACTCAGTACCAAGGTTAGTATATGAATGCTTTGGCCACCGTTCTCTCTATTTTGTAAGTATTCTTCAGCTATTGTCATTTGGAATGCTTTCCATCACAAACTTTATTGTATTTGCAAACCTATTGAAATCGTTTATCTATGAAATAAGTTGGGTCAAAGAAAGTGCTCCACACGTCATTGGAAATCAATGGTTTAGTGTAATTGTACTTGCAGTTTTACTTTTTCCCTTTATTATTAGGAAGAAAATCCAGGAACTAAGAATCATCGGAATATTACAAGTTTCTGCAATCGCCTTCTTTATTTTCCTGATGCTCTTAATAAGAATAACAAAAGATGACAAATTGGAAAGACCATCAATTTCCAAAGGAGATTTCTACTTCTTCAGCTTCAGCAAGCCATGGTTATCATCTCTTTCAACTGCTTTTGTAGTATTTTCATTCCAATCTGCGTTCTTCCCCATTTACAACTCCTTAGAGATTAAATCGTACCAGAATGGGATGAAGTTTACTTTCTTTGGAATGCTCTTCTGTTTTGCTATCTATACTATGGTGACTTTTGTGTCTCTTTATTCCTTCGGGGCTAATATTCAGGGAGATATGCTCAAAAACATCGAGTGAGTGAGTGTTTGGGAATCCTACCTGCTAAGAGCAATCTTCATGTTGCTAATGGCTGCCCACACTCCTTTCACATTTTTCATTGGGAAAGGAGCAGCAATGGTAATCGTTGCATTGCTATATATTAGAGGTGATAAATAAAGAACAAATTGATCGTACTCAAATTCTTTATAAAGATGCCGTGGATAATAACCGAAATGAAGAAAGAGAGGAAAACGGCAATGAAAGAGAAAACCTTCTTGAAGAAAACTGTAGCAATTTTCTGGGCACTCATAAGAATATGATATCCACTTTTAGAGACATTACAGTTAGTAGCAAAATTATATCTGAAGGGTTTGAACGAAACTTCAGTTTAGCAATCCCATTTTCAAAACTGAAGAAAACAATGGTAATCACAGGATCAGCTCTCAAAAGTAACTTTTTGAACGACTTATTACCCAAATGGGTATGACATACAATCACTATATTATTATATGCAATTGTTGTAGGGGCTGCATGAGTTATCCAAGATGTTGCAACTCTTGTCAAGTTTATTGGGTCAATCTCAAATGCTATTCTGAATTTAGCGTTTCCAGGGATATTCTATTTCATTTTAATGAGAAAACATAAAGTAAGAGTCGCCAAATGGAAGCTTGGCCTTTCCTTTTGTTTGTTCATGTACGGTGTGGCAATGGCGTTATTTCTTACAGGAGTAAATATTTGGGTGCTTATTGATCCCCCAAAACGTATAAATTTACAGGAGCGGTGTTTTGAATAAACCGAGATCAACTATTTAAAATGTTAAAGATTAAACACCCTCAAGTCTAATTCAAGTCATTGGTTTGGTTCAGGGGTTTTGGGGTTTTGGGGTTTTGGGGGTTTTGGGGG